GAATCAGCTGCTGATCAGTTTCAGCAGCAGCTGACTTGGGGATGCTTGGGGTTCTTAAGTTGATTCTGTATGTAAGTTGGAACTGGTGGACAGTTTCATGCGGCTGAATCTGGACGCCAGTTCTGACTTACATACAGATTCAACTTAAGAACAAACCTACAGTCCCTATCTTGTACGTAACCCGGGGACTGCCTGTATAAGGCTGCGTCTAGACTGGCAAGTTTTTCCGCAAAAGCAAGTGCTTTTGCAGAAAAACTTGCCAGCTGTCTACACTGGCCGCTTGAATTTGCGCAAGAACACTGACGATCTCATGTAAGATTGTCAGTGTTCTTGCAGAAATACTATGCTGCTCCTGTTCGGGCAAAAGCCCTCTTGCACAAATGCTTTTGTGCAAGAGGGCCAGTGTAGACAACACGGTATTGTTTTGCGCAAAAAAGCCCTAACACGGTATTGTTTGCGCAAAAAAGTGCCAATCTAGACGCTCTTTTCCACAAAGGTTCCAAAATCTAGGTTTTTAGGATTTTGGGGGAAGTTTTATACCAAAGTCTAGAAAGATAAGGTTTTGGGGTACTTTTGTGGGCCCCCACTTTTGCATTTATCGTGCCAGAGTGGGGAAAAAGCCTTGGCACAGGCTCTCAGCAGAGATGTTATAAACTGCTATCTTAAAGGTCTCTGGTGTACATCCTATGTCAGGATGGGTCTACAGTTCTTTCCGGCTCGTTGTTCCCTGCAAGGCTGCATCTAGGATCAGGAGCAAAACTGAAGACAAGATGGAGGGTGCCACATGGCACTTATATACCTCTCCTGGCATCCTCCTGTCCAGAGAAGGTCACATGGTCCAATGACCTACCTTGTGTCCCATGCTGGCAGCCCTTAGACCTGGCTGGTTTGCAGGTATCAGTCACATTCCTGAGGTGTGTATTGGCACTAGAGATTCATTGTCCCTGGAGCTGTGCTAATTAGCACAGTCACTGGCTGAATGTTCTTTGCCCATTGCTCTGCCTCAGAGAATTTTCCAGCATCAACACAGAGCACATATTTATTACTCCACACACATATATCATACAAGTACATGAATAGCATATACAGAATCAGTGGAACATAAGCTTTCATGTGACACCTCACATGGCCCCCTTCGTACCAACTTTGGGGCAACTACCCCCCCATGGGTGCAGCAGTGATCTGGCTGCTCTCCTTAAAATCCAGTAACGTGACAGGGTCCTTGTGTGAAACTCTTGCACAGACCCCCGATGGGCCTGCCAATAGCAGCCATGCGTGGCTGCTCAAAGGCCCTGCCGAACCAGTCAGCCTCTGCCCCCCACCCTAGCAGGAACATCTCCCCCTTGTTTTCATAAATATTGTGGAGGACACAACAGGCTGCCACCACTTGGGGGATGTTCCACTCGCTAACATCCAGATGGGTGAAGAGACAAACGAACCTTCCCTTCAGACAGCCAAAGGCGCCCTCCAAAACCCTGTGGGCCCGGCTAAGCCTGGAGTTAAAACATTCCTGTATAGGGTTCAGGTGTCCAGTGTAGGGCTTCATTAGCCAGGGGAGCAGAGCATAGTCTGTGTCCCCTACAATGCACATCAGTGGGTCCACAGCCCTGACCTGATGGTGCAGTCAGAGAAAAAAGTGCTGACATGCAGCTTCTGGAAAAGGCTGAAGATTCAAAAGATAAACATGCCTTACCCGACCTCCCTTAGATGTCAGTGAAGTGACCTCAGTGGTCCACAAGGGCCTGCAGTACCACAGAGAAGTACCCCTTCTGGTTGATGTATTCAGATGCCTGGTGATCGGGGGTTCAGATGGGGATGTGGGTGCCATCAATGACCCCCCGCAGTAGGGGAAGTCCATGATGGCAAAGCCAGTGATGATGGGGTCGCCCTCACCCAGGATGATGAGCCTCTCAGTAGGATGATGTTGATGGTCCTCACCACCTGTAGAAGGAGACACACAGAGAATCACAGGGTTGCCAGTGCACTCGGGAGTTCCCTGAGCCCAACTCTACCTCCTTCCCTCCTTCCCCCCGACACACACACCAGGAGCATTCTTAATTTACCCCATCCCCTTGCAGGGCTTTGTGAAGGCAAGATTGAAAAACCTTCCAGGGAGGGAAATTCCACCACCATCCCCACTCCCCTTCCCTAGGGAACCCCATTCCTGTAGTTCACCATCCTCCTGGGACAATAGCCAAAGAGCACCAGACCTGCATGATCATGTCCCCAATAGTTGATCTCCCCAAGCAATACTGGTTCCCAATGGATCAGTAGTTGTCCAGTGTGGCTAGCTTCCATATGACAATAGCTCCTCATTTCTGGGCGTCCTGTCACCTGAGGGCAGGGGTGAGGCACTCTCAGCTCCAGGAAGGTGTCCTTGTGCCTACGGAAATTCTGGAGCTACTCCTGGTCGTCTCACTGCTCCATGATGATCTGGTCCCACCAATCAGAACTGGTGTCCCGACAGCAGAAGAGGCGATGCAAGGTGTGCAGAGGATGGTGGAGATGCCCCGCTATGAGTTGGGGTCCTCCTTTTGTAGAGCCATGAAGGCAACCAGCAGAAACTGCATCAGGAGGTGCAGCGCGAGATGTAAGAGCCATCAACTGCTGGGACGCAGGTCCGGCTCCATGGCAGGAGTGCTGTGGTGTCTGCAAGGGCAAACAGAGCAGGCAGAGAAAAGGCTTTGCTGTCTCTCAAGGAGGTAGGCAAAGAAGAAGAGCCTGAGACACGACTGTACAGGGGAGTCACTTTAAGCATGAGCCTCCAATCGCCTCAGGCAGCAGCTATGGGAAGAGAAGTGATTGCGTCCTGATGCCCTGCCTGAAGTGCTTCCAGGTAGCCTTAAATATGATTCAGTGTCCAATGAGTATGGATGGTCTATTTTGAAATAGATCAGCATATTTTGATGGGCATTTGCTATGTAGACATGATCTTTCAAAAAAAATTTCAAAATGGCTTATTTTGGAGTAAGCATGCAGTGTAGACATAGCCTTAAGGTCTTTATTCAAGCCCAGGGTAATAATGTCAAATTTATAAATGAATTCCAGTTCAGCAGTCTCTCTCAGTAATTGAGTAGTAAAATTCCTTTGTAGAAGAATGGGTACTTTTAAATCTATGATTGAGTATCTAGGTAAGGATGTTTTCCTGACTCAAGGCCTGAGTGTAATTTTAATATTCAATAGCTACATACTGTTTGCAGTTACATTTATTCCTCTTCTGCATTCCTTGATCTGCATAGACTTGTTCATAAAGATTTTGCCTACTGAGAACATTTCAGTAGTTAATGTACAGTAAAGAAAACAGATAGACTCGTACAAAATCAAGTAATCTTGATCACATTAGACTTTCTTACAGCATAAATAAAATAATACAGGCAAAAGTTGTGACCTAAGAGCTTGCATTATTTAGAAGGTCCCTTTAGGTTTTTAAAAGTGCTACAACAGAATTGTAAGGTTATGTTTTACAATATTAAAATGGGCATAATTTTCTAACCTAAGAAAAGTCAAGTAACTTTTTATAGTTTTATTTAATTATTTTTAATCCTTGTTTTGAAGTTTAACATATTTTCACCAGATGGCAAGCATTTCATTTTCCCTGTTTTTTCTAAAGGAGATTAAATTAACATGGTTGTTTTGTTTAACAAAAACTGTATTCTATATATGAAGCCAGCCAATATTTTTAACACATTTGTGCTCTGTCATCATCCCTGATTTGAATTAAGGGCTGGATTCATTGCCCAGTGAAGTTCATAGATTCCCATTTACTTCATGCCCCCAAGCAAATAGTTCTCAGTTTCTGTTGCAAAGCTAGTAAAGGAAGAATGGCATTATCATAGTTACCACAAAAATAGCAGCCACATATCACCAGGTGGGAAATTGTGCTACAGTGGGCAGCAAGTGAGTGAGCAGATGTATCTCCACAACAGAGAGATAACAAGGGTGTTCTAGCATATTTTGTGCATAGATTTTCAGGTCAAAAGGGATCATTAGATCATTTATTCTTACCTCCTGTATAACACAGGCCACAGAATTATGCATTTACCTATAATTATGCTGAATTACCCTCGCTGTTGAAAAAAAGTGTGCTTATTTTTCATTTGAATTTGTCTGGCTTTAACTTTAGCCACTGGCTTTTGTTGTACTTTCCCCCCTCACAGTACAAAAAGCCCTAATGCCTGTTTCTTTGCTTGCTGTAACTCTCAGTAGATCTGCAGAGACATTAAAATATAATTTTGCACAGTGATGTCTACTGACCAGTCAGAATAATTTGGTATGTAGTATAGGCTGAATTTTGAGACTTACCGTATGTGCTTTGGAAGCAGGAAAAATAATGTTGTAATATGTTAGTCACAATGGCATTAGCAGTGGTTCTCTGTCTCCATTAACTGTGCTAAAATGGGTTTGAGTAAGTGTCACGGTTCATAAATTCAGGCTCCATGTGAAAGGAATAAGAAAGCAGGTAGTTTTGGGAGTACCTGTTCATGAAACATTCAAAGATTCAGAAAATAGTATTAGGATTCTTTACATTCTACTGCACATTCATTTCAAAGAGCTTTCATAAAATTGGTTTTATCTAAGTAAATGTAAAGATTCTTTTGAACAGGTTACCCATTATTTATCTGCATGTTAGGCCAAAATTCCACTATAAAGAGATTAGACCAGTACCACCAGTGCTATATTCCATAGCTTGCTATTAGATGAAATATTCTTGCTCTTTGGCCCAGTGGCTAATTCCCATATGAAACAAATAGGCACATTATCTAAAGGAAAGGATCAAGCTACCTGGAAAAGAGTCTTTTCCCACTGACAAGACAAATGATGCCCCCTGGCTACATGAAAGAACACCTGGCAACAAGTTACAAACATTAGATGTTCTCAATTCCCCTATGGCTATTTACATAGGTGTAGACCTTGCAGTTATTTGTATTTAGCAAATTACTGTGTTAATCTCTAGATTGCTTAATTTAGACATATTTGTCTCTGGAGAAAAAAAAGCATTCATGTTGTTAAATAGAATGGCCCCACTGGCAAATCCCTAAATATAAGGATATGAGCAGACCTGTTGAAGTTAATGGGACTGCCCAGGTGCCTCCCTTTAGGCATGTGCTTAAGTGTGTTGCTAAATCTGGGTTTAAGAGAGCAGGATTATGTGGAACTGAAGTGTAGCAAACTCTATCTAATCTGGCAGATTTGAAGTGGTATTATTTAACTTTTAGCACATTGTTGATTCTGAACTCAGAGTGGTTCCGTACCAGTGATTTTCAGAGATGTGCATCCTCGTGTCTCATTGACAAGAATCTCGACTATTTAGCGATTCTTTTAGGAGGTGCTTATTATTTTGCAGGATTGGGCATAAAGCTTCCATTCAGACCAGAATTTTGCATGAAGACTAAAACTGAGACGGGCTATTTTAAATATATGGGATTATCCTGAAATTATAGAACTCTGGTGAAATACTATGGATTGCATTCATGACACGTGGAGCAGTGCATACCACCAACACATATTCAGAAAAACATATTGTTCAGAGGGAAAGAACTAAGTTCCTGGAGCAGAATACTCTAGGACAGTTAGGAGATTTGGATCTCTAGTGGATTTCGTCAAAATCCTGGATCCAAATCCCTCTTAGGTCTCAGAAAGCTTGGATCTGCTCTCTGCAATTTCAGTCCATCTATGTGATTCATAAAAGAAAATAAATAGTTCCTGATGCAGTAAGTTTCTAACTAAAAACAGGCACCTTTTGAATGTGGAGCTATCTACTGAAACCATCTACACATGTATACCAGGCTTCTCTCAGTCACTGGTAATTTTTGCCCTCCTCTACTGGAGGAAAGCAGAAAAAAAGTTGTGGTCCTTTTCTGACTTCATAATTCTACTCTTCCCTCTTTTATCAGAAATATCTGTGATTGAATTTACTACTCATGATAGCACAGCTTGAAGGGCACTAGCTAGGGCAGGTGCTTGACCAATTTTTTCTACAGAGATCTGCCAATGGACTTCCATCATGATTTGCACTGCAAATTTAAGCCAATCTGCTTTTGAGTAGAGGTTACCAGACATTTCAAATTGTGTGCGTTACAAGGCAGGCAAGTGTCCTCGAAGAGTAGTTTCTCTGATCTACACTGACACTGAACACTGAGAGACTGGTTGATGGAGAGACTACAATTGTGACTGCCATTTTCCTGACCTTTTCTCTGATTTGTAAATTTCATTATCTTTATTTAACAGTGCTATAGATGCTATAGATGCTATATCAAGTGCTATAGATGCTTGATAGCAGTGTCACAAAATGTCAGTTTGCTGCCTTTTGTGTTTTTCAAACTACGGGTCACAACCCAGTACTGGGTGGTGGAATGTCAGACACTAGGTCTCCTTGCTGCAGGGGGATCAGGTGACCAGTGGGGCTGCTAAGGCAGTCTACATGCCTGTTCTGACACCACAGACTGTGCTGTGTCCTAGAAGCAGACGGCAGCAAGCCCAGCTCCCAGGTGGGGGGGAGAGAGCACACAGGCTCCATGCACTGCCCCCCACCCCAAGCACTAGCTCCACACTCCCATAGGGAACCTGCTGCTGGCTGCTTTTGGGGGCAGCGTGGTCTGTGGTGCCAGGAGAGGAAGGAGGTCTGCCTCAGCACCCTGCTGAGCCACTCAAGGGAAGCCCCTCCTGCCAGAGCCCTGATATTCCTAAAGCTGGAGCCCCCTTCTATAGACCAACGCTTTCATCTGGAGCCCACCCTCTAGTAGTCAAATTATGTTGGGCCACTGCCTACGGGCATCAACAATTTTCTTTAACTGGATCACAAGAAAAAAAAGTTTGCAAACCACTGTACTATAGTACTTGGTGCAATGGGCTTGAATTTTCCATATTTGCTCTCTGATGCTCTTTTATTGAGGTTTGTCAGTCAACCATAAACAAAGATCTAGGAAACTTTTCCTGATTTCAGGAATGAATCTCGGACCCACTTCTCCAGCGCCTTTGCCTCCTATTTCGATTGTTTTATTATTGCCCCCCCAAATTATAAAGCACATTAAAGTTCTTACTGTGGGTGAAACCCTCGCTACACTTAAATAAATGAAAGCTTTGCCATTGGCTACTGTAGAGCCAGGATTTCACCCTGTATCTTTTCCCTAAATAGAATGAAATTAAAAATTTAGTTTTCAGGATTCTTTTCACCTGTTGCTTTGGTTGGTCTCTGCTATCAGACAGGGGAAGGCAGGAATGAGGCTGCTGGTACTGTATCTGTCATCTGTCCTGAAGCAGTTGTCAGTATTTCCATAAATTGAATATTCTTTGGCTTTTCTACAAAAATGCAAGAATGCTCTGATACAGTTGTAACTGATGCTACATCCGTTCCTAGGAAGAAAAGATTTAATGTAAAGATTAGTTAAATGAACAATAGACCTTTCTTTAGCTTCATTTTTATGTTACATGTTCATCCTTAAAAAAATATATTTTTAAATCACTCCTTCAGCATAAAACAACCCAGTCCTGTAAGAATGCTCTCTTCCGTTTCCATCTTATTACAATAATGCACGACAGTGGGACTCTGACCATCTGTGTGAGAACTAATCCACACTAACATGCAAAATGATGCAATTAGACTTCATTTCTTTAATCACACTATTTTGCATTTTAACATCCGAGGAATACAACTTGCTTTTT